CACACACACGCAGGCACGCATTTCGCTCACTCCCCTCTCTCTGTTCTCTCTCCCTCTCTCCCTCTCTCGCTACCCGTTTCTCGCACCCAGACCGCCCCCTGGCCCCTAGCTCCTCCTCTCTTTGATCTCTGCAGGTCGCCGCTGAGGACGTCTCGCACGCCGGCCGCGACGAGGAGGCGAGACGCGCAGGCTTTGATTGGGCCGTCAAGATCGGCAGCTTCATCGCGTAGTCAGGGCTGCTGGCTCCGGCGCGCAGTGGGGCATTGGTTTTGTAAGCTGGCGCGACGGGTGCATGCGTGTTACTCGCACTCTTCAGGCAAAAATGAGGGAATGCTCATTAGTAACCCTACGCGGTACGGCACGCGCGCGGGCAATTTCCCTCTCATCCGGCCCGTCCCCCAGCGCGGCGCGGGGAAGCAGCATCGAATGGAGGGCGAACGGCACGATGCGAAAAGGCAGGGCGAGGCGGATGGAGAAAGAAGTGCCCAGGAGGCCATGGTGGAGGGGAGGGACGGGAGGACGAAAGAAGGGCGAGGAGGACGAGCGGCCCGCACAGACCGCGAGCAGACAGCGCCTGCTGGCCATTTCGAGACATTCGCCAAGAACGCTAGCTACATGGGAGGGCTTCGTGAAGGATGGATTGAAAAACATTCGAACAAAGAAGAGGCGACGGGAGGAACCGGCGGAGGATGCAGTGACGTGAGACACACACACACACACACACACACACACACACACACACACACACACACACACACACACACACACACACACACACACACACACACACACACACACACACACACACACACACACACACACACACACACACACACACACACACACACACCGCTCACCCACGCGCACTGGGCCTTGCACTTTGAATGCCGTGGGGCTCCTGTCGTCAGACGTGGAGACGCGAGGGTTGCCCCCCCTTGCCCCACCACCTCGTGTGTGTGGAGAAGTTTACCTTACCTTACCTTACCTTAGCAGCATCAGGTGAGAGCAGGAAGGATGGCGCTTGGCTAGTGCCATTTCACTGTGGCACAGCTCGCGTTACAAAACCTTGATTTTGACCATTGCGCGAAAAAGGTACCTCTCGGTGCCTTCCAGAGGCAGCTGTGACCCCGCCGAGTAGACGGCGGCACACAGCAGGTGGCGCGGTGTGCCGCCGTCCACTCGGCGGGATCGCAGCTGCCTCTGCGCGTCCTGGGGAGGTACATTTGTTGCGCGCCGGAGACGACTCGACGCCGCTGAGATCGGAGATCAAGCTCTGACAGGTCGCACGTCGCTCCTTTGACGCCGACGTGATTTACCCGTGCAGATCACATCAGGACACGGTCTCGACGCGCTCAGTACGACGCCTGCGACCCGTCTCGGGTCAGGTGGCACGACGCTCATCGCGCCCGCCAGCGCTGCCTTGCAGGTTGCCACGACGAGGTCGAGCACGCTTCTATACGCTCGCCGAGCCTTCCTTTCCATCCCGTTAGGCAGCCTGGGAACGGTGGCGATCAGAGGCAAAGCCTACGAGGGGTGGTGGAACCACATGTCACGGCTACTGCCGGCTCGACCCCACGATAGCCTCCGAAGGCTGACTTTGCGGCACCATCATCGGACGATGTCGACGAGTTGGGTCGCTCTCGCGGTAGCCAGATGACCTCTCATACTAGGATCATCGGCCATGGCCGCAGGGAGCGCGGGGGAGGGCGCTGGATGCAACACGGAGCTCCGTTGGAGACGTTTTCAAGATTAGGACTCTGGGGCTCTCTCCGAAGGGAGCGTAGCGTACGCGGAGGGAGCTCAGAGTTACCCCAAACCGGAGCGAGGGAAGGAGCGATCCCGCGGTGAGCGACACCGAGCGCATCGCAGCGCGTGAAGGATCCCCAAATTGAGTGAGTGACGGTCCTATTCGGACTCGTCCTCGGCCGTCGGCGGCGTCGCGGCGATATGGCGTTTCGCCTTCACTCGGGCTGTCCGTCGAGGCCAAGCGGCGGCCGTTATCGCCACTGGCGGCCCGTAGATCGGGATGCCACGCCGCCGACGAGGCGGCGCACGAGTCGACGCTCTTCTCGGTGAAGAGCTAGTCGAGATATACTCTGGCGAGGCGACAGCACATCCAGCCGCTCGCCCGCCACGCCGCCGACGAGACGGCGCACGAGCCGACGCTCTTCTCGATGGAGAGAGCTAGTCGAGATATACTCTGGCGAGGCGACAGCACATCCAGCCGCTCGCCCGCCACGCCGCCGACGAGGCGGCACGCGAGTCGACGCTCTCGCCGATGGAGAGATATACTCTGGCGAGGCGACAGCAGATCCAGCCACCCGCCCACCACGCCGCCGACGAGACAGCGCACGAGTCGACGCTCTTCTCGATGGAGAGCGAGTCGAGATGGCGATTGAATCATGGCGCGAGGCGCGCTGGCTCCATGTCGCCTCTCTGCTGTGAATAGAGGGAGAGTGCTGCAGCGTTGGAGCCGTAGCTCGGCGCCTCGCCCTCAGCAGAGCGGGCGAGAAAAGCTGAAGCCGTTCGCGCCACTTTCGGCGGAGTTCGTCGATTCCGCTCTCCTGCCCGCTCTTGCCAGCCTCCCTTGCAGCAAAACACCATCATCTCGCCCATCCGGTCGAGAGCAAGCACATTCCGTAAGTAAAGTAAGACAGCTTTCAAAACGGAATGGGAGAAACGACTCGCACGCCGCACCACACAGCTCACAGGGATTTTCCGGAAGGATGTGTGTGGTGTTAGCGGTCCTCCGGTCCTCCACCTCCCCTCTTGGATCTCAATCTGTAGAGTCGACACAAGAAAGCCCAACGGCTTCCCTCACACGCTTCGCCCGCGTTCCCTACTTTGCGAGCTTCCCGCCGCCACTGCAGCCAACGGAGACGGAAAAGGCTCCCTCGTTGGTAAGGTAGCCGTCAACGACGAGCAGGTAGCAGCCCACCACCAAGGTGGTGCTCAGCACCGAACGGAGTTCGCATTGACCGCAATCGTCGCACTCTGCCACCTCGTCGGCGTCCTCCAGCGTCCAGACGCGCAGCCACGTGTCATAGTCGGAGCCACACGAGTCAAAGGTGAATCGGCCAGGGATCGTCACGCAGAAGAGAAAGGAGGCGTCGCCGGCGGGCTCGCCGCCCAAGCTCGGCTCCCCGACAGTGCTGCCCGACACCTCAGAGTCACAGGAAAGGCGGCCCACGTCCAGGGGTGGCAATGCCGGTGGTGACGGCGGTGACGGTGGCGAGGGCGGCGAGGGTGCTGGGCTCGGTGGCGGTGCGGACGGAGCCCTAGACGGCTCCGGTGGCACTCGAAATCCATACCAGAGGCAAACTCCGCAGGCGGCACTGGCCATGAGGACGAAGAGAGTGCAGCAAGCGGAGGCTCTGTTGCGACTGCGGCGCTCGTGGATATGCGCCTGCAACGGCACAGCCGGCACTGCGGCTGCGGTCCGTGCGTCTGCCACGTTGCCGATGGAGACCGCGACCGAGGCAGGTTCAACAGGTTTTGGCTTGCTGCGCGCCTCGTCGATCACTCGCGCAAGGCGCTCGTGGGCGTCAGAGGCCGCAGTCGTGAGCGTGATGTCAGAGTGGCCGAGTTGACCGAAGCGAGAGGCCTCGCCGTATGAGGGTGGAGCCTCGTCGTCGTTGCCGGCGTCTTTGCTCACTGACATGTTGTCTTTCAAGACTCTCTCGGCAATGTGGGCTCTCTCGGCAACGACTCGGCCTCGAAAAGCGAGCCTCGCGGGCCGCCTTCGAGGTCTCGGACGCCTGCGTGTCACGACCTCGTGCGAGCCGCTTGACATCGTCCGATGATGGTGCCGCAAAGTCAGCCTCCGGAGGCTATCGTGGGTCGAGCCGGCAGTAGCCGTGACATGTGGTTCCACCACCCCTCGCAGGCTTTGCCTCTGGCCGCCACTGTTCCCAGGCTACCTAATGGGATGGAAAGGAAGGCTGGGCGAGCGTATAGAAGCGTGCTCGACCTCGTCGTGGCAACCTGTACGGCAGCGCTGGTAGGCGCGATGAGCGTCGTGCCACCTGACCGGAGACGGGTCGCAGGCGTCGTACCGAGCGCGTCGAGACCGTGTCCTGATGTGATCTGCACGGCCACGGGTGAGTCACGTCGTTGTCAAAGGAGCGACGTGCGACCTGTCAGAGCTTGATCTCCGATCTCAGCGGCGTCGAGTCGTCTCCGGCGGCGACGATTTGGTACATCTCCAGGACGCGCAGAGGCAGCTGCGATCCCGCCGAGGGACGGGCGCA